AAAAAATTTATCCACAAAAGAAGTTGTTTGTGTCGAATTAGAATACTGGCCTTCATAAATAACAACAACCATATAAAAACATAAAGGAGACCCAACATAATCAAATTGTTACCTTACTTTCAGCAGCCTGACGTGAACCCAAAACCCTAAATTCCCCTGCGCAAAACCCTAAGCTCTACCAAGAAACGTCTTACAATCCCCGATTCCTCCTCCTTGGGTAATTAAACAACACCCGACAGAAAGACTGCTCTTCTTCCCAGGCTGCACATTAGGCCCCGTTTTGAAATCGCCTACTAAACTTCCCTTTCGGTCGCGAAAAAAAACAAAAGAAAACGGATTCAAGGAGAAAGAAAACAACCGGGGCGTCTTCTTCCGCCTCCCCCGGGGCTTGCTACGATGCCAGATTGGCAGATGAAACGCCAAAGTTTCCACGAAGCAAGCGAAGCTGCTCCTCAAATGTGAATCGTAAAAGGAAGCTGCATGAAATTCGTTCCTCGGAATCTGGTCCAATGAAGAAGCAGAAAGGCAAAGAGAAAGAAATCGATGAATCCTACCCTAAAGCTGCTAGTGGTTCTTCTAAAGGCCTTAGGTTATGTAAAATTTGCATGGAAGAAAAACCAACTTCAATGATGCTTAGGAGGAAGCGATGCGACCACTCTTCCTGCTATGATTGTACTCGCCAGCATATCGCGACGAAGATGAAGGAAAATATAATAATGATTCAGTGTCCTGTGTGGAATTGTGGAACTTTGATAACTCCTAAACAATGCAAATCCATCCTGCCAGGGGAAGTGATTTCTAGATGGAAAGATGCCTTGCATTGCTCTCGAACCCCTCCGGTTCTGGAATTTGATTGTCCTTCCGAGGATTGCCCAGCTAGGTTAACAGATAATGGGAAGGCTATTGATGTGATAGAATTACAGTGCCCCAACTGCCTTGAAAAAATCTGTCCTGAGTGTAAAGGTTTCAGCCATGGAGATTTGGATTGTGATGAATATAAGGAATTGGTAAACCATGAGATAGAGGAAGAAGATTATTATTATTTAGCGTTGCTGAAGATTTCTAAGAAGGAAAATTGGAAGAGATGTCCTAATTGCAACAACTTTGCTGGAAAGACGACAGAGGGATCTAACAAAGTCGAATGCGGGTGAGTTGCTTTTAATTTCTTTCCTTTTTCTCTGGCGTGCATAATGCTATGAATTCTTTACCTTTAGATGTTAGAATAAATTTCAGTGATGTCTAGAGATATTATATGATGAAAATTCAAGAACAAGGGTATACAAGACTTGATTAACCATGATTTTAGAAACACATAATTGTTGCTGTTGTAAATTCTGCTGCCCACCACAAGAAATTAACCTGGACTTTAGACCTCTAAATCAAACTAGGCACGGGCTCATGGCATGTTTTGGTGGTATCAGAAGAATTCCTGCTTCATATATTGTTCATACTAAGCAACAATTCCCCATAACAAGGGCAGTGAGATCAGATTGTAGCTGTTTATTTTACTTTTCTAATGTATTGGAAGGGAAAAGATTGAAAATAACAATGAAGTTCCTAAAGCTGTAACTATAGACCGAAGCTTATGGTCGGCCAATTGAAATCTTCTGTTCTACACTTGAAGTTTCTAAGCTGAAATCTTCTGTCCTATATTTACAACTTAAATGGCTGACCATAAGCTTAATTAGCCTAACAGAAGTGTGGTTATACGCTAAGCTTTTGAAAAGAAAGTTTGCATAGTCATATTATAGATGCATTTCAATGATTCTGCTTAATTAGTTCACTGTTAAACTGTAAACTAAGCATTAGAATAGAAAACTATTATCATTGTTCTTTCCATGTTTATTTTGCTGTTTATTGAGTCAACAATTAGCTCTTGCCTTGTCTCATCTTGACCAATTGTAACATTTGTTTTTTCTTTACTGTTGTTGTGTAGGTGTACTTACAAGTTCTGCTATGACTGCGAATCAGAATGGAGCCGAGGACACTCCTGTTTTGACCCTTCCAGGCTTGTGGGACAACAGCAACAGCAGAGCTAGTTCAATCCTTTTCAACTGTCTTCAGAAACTCATTAACTAATTATAATCTGGCACTACAATTCTTTTACCTATCTTAGCTGGAAAAGTACAGTAATTTCATATATTGAGTTCCATACCTAAATTTTGGTTGATGTTTTGGTAAGTATGTATAAGAAATATTTAGGAAATGGGCACTCCCATGTTTTAGGGATCCTTGCTTCATATATTTTGAGTGAGATTCCATTCATATTCATTCGTAAATGCACGTGAAAGACTGCAATAGTTATATCAAATAATATTTGTCTATGTATAAAATTACTTGTATATATACATAGAGAATAATTTAATATATTAGTGTCAAGTAATTTATTTATTTTTATTCTTTGTTGTAGGTTAACTTGATTTGTCAAAAATAACCGATACATCTTTGGTTGAGTATTCATTAAATAAGTCGAAACCGTCCTATATTACTTGTTTGAGTTTATTTTTCATTTTCTTTATTTCTAAATTTTTTAATTAATTTGAAACATGCATATGTTGTTTATAATAAATGAATTCCATGATAAAACGGATTATTATTGTTGTTTAAAATTATAACGAAAGAAAACAATTATTACTTTTTTTAAAAAAAACATATATCTTATATTAGTTTATGATAATTGATAAGATTACATTAATGTGGATTCAAATTTACTATCACAAGTTACCAGACTGCAAACTCACTGTGCTATTACAATTTTCACTCAATGTATTCGTTGTTTGGTTTGGAAGAAAAGAACAATATTTCAGTCCTTTGACTATTCATGATGCGTTGGAGTATGTAGGATTTAATTAGTGGTTATCTAATTATTTGTCATGGAGTTAATTAACTACAATAAAAATCAATTATCTAAGATAAAAAATAGTGTAAAATCCTTATAATTATTAGAGAGCAGAAACTAATTCTTATATTATATTTAATTTGTGCCTGTCGCCTATCCGACATATGTAACAAGCCTTTATCTTAACATATAGACACCATATATTTAATTAAATGTGCTTGAAGAAAAAAGAAAAATAATTATAAGGAGGCTTATATTACATCTAATACTAAAATAATTCAAAGTTGAAATCCATTCAAATCTAAAGTAATTTGAATTTATTAAGGTGACATTTGATTGATGGCCGTATACTTAAAATGTGTATCAAGGACTGCCACTTGATGCAAGTAACATATCAATTCATATTTAGAGGCCAGTTATAAAGAAGTTTGAAGAACGATTGGCAGGCTAGAAGTCAAAGATGCTCTCCATGGGTGGAAGGGTTACAGTCCTTAAATCGGTGCTTGCTAGTCTCTCGATATTCTACATTTTTTTTTCAAATTCTTTAAGAAGTTAAATATGAACTCAAAAAAATCCAAAGGAGATTTCTTTGGAGTGGAATAGAAGAGAAAAGAAGAATACATTTACTGGAATGGGGGAAGGTAAGCAATTATAAAGAAAATGAGGGATTAAGTATTATTGATATTGGGCTTTAAAATAGGGCTTTGTTGACAAAATGGTTATAAAGATATGGAAGAGAAAAAACAAGTTTTTGGAGAGAGTTCATCATTGAAAAAAGTGGCAAGGATCCTAATAGTCTTCTACCATCTATGGAGAGAAATAGGAAAACATCCACCACTTGGTGTAGCATTGCAGCCCCTCGTTCCCCTACTAACTTTTTTTTCTCGCAAGTGTCAAATAATTTAAGCATGCTTGTGGGTAATGGCACTAGCATTTACTTCTAGTATGAACAATGGGTGAATGAAATTATTTTAAAAGATGAGTTTCCTAGAGTGTTTGCATTGGCAGCTAAAAAAAACGAAAAAGTCAAGG